CAGGGACTAGGAATAATCCTTTGTAGTTCTGAACTCCATCCTCAGCCCTGTCCTTTGAGTCTTACTTCCTTTTTTTTTTTTTTTAAAGGTTTTATTTATTTTTCTGACAGAGAGAGATCACAAGTAGACAGAGAGGCAGGCAGAGAGAGAGAGGGAAGCAGGCTCCCTGCCGAGCAGAGAGCCTGATGCGGGACTCGATCCCAGGACCCTGAGATCATGACCTGAGCCGAAGGCAGCGGTTTAACTCACTGAGCCACCCAGGCGCCCCTCTTACTTCCTTTTTAATAAAAGTTAACATATAGTTGCAACTGCATAGTTTTATAAGCCTGTTTCTTGCCTGCAAGAATACATTCCTTTACAAATCCAACAACCTTTTATTTTGTCTTCTCTTTGTAACTTTCAGTCCTAATCGGCAGTGTCTTCACTAATATACCATCCTCACAGACCTTGTAGGTATCTCATGTATGTCACAGGGATTCATCCCATTAAACAAAAACCTCCTCCACAGATCTTTCCTGGATAACCCTCTGGATTGTGCTGGGAAGGCTGAGGAGATCTATGAGATGCACACCTCAAAGAGCCCTGCATCTGATGGAATACTCTGATTTTTTGATCCCATGGACACTAGAAAAAAGATATCCAGTCACACTTCTGGCTTTCTCCCCAGGACACACTTTCTTGAGAGTGAATCTATAAATTTTAGCCTCTTTTTCAAACTATACAGGCTTAGAATGTCTCAAATCATCACATCCCGGTTTCTTTTTGCTTAAAAGTTAGATTTTCCAGCTTTGTTTTATTGTTGACCCTTAGTTTTGTACCATTGTGGTTAGATAGTATACTGGGTATGATATCAGTCTTCTTGTAATATTTGTTATGTCTTTTTTTAATGCGATTTAACCAGGGGATTCTTCTGTGTGTACTTGAAGAAAATATGTATTCTATATTTCTTGGATGGAATGTTTTATATGTATCTTTTAGAGCCATATATTCTGAAGTATGCCTCAAGTAAAGAATGCTCTTATTGAAAAAAACTGTTATTCACTCAATTTATCTTTTTTGCTATAGGTAGCAAGAAGAGAACATGCTGCACATTCAGCACTGTGCTTGGAAATCTCAACTAAATATCCAAATTTGTCACTTACTACTTTGCTTTTGATATAACACAATTCTGCTAGACTTCCTGCTACTGTATAACACTTCCTTTCTTCCAGTTTTCAATAATATATTCCTCATTTACTTTTCAGTCTTTATCAGAAGCACCTTCAACAATATTCATGTCTACCAATACTCTATGATTTGGGTATTCTGTAAGATGATATAGGTTTTCTCTACCATTCTCCTCACTTTGTTTCTGAACCCTCACAAGTAGTGCCTTTAATATCCATCTTTCTACAAACACTGTGACAATATAGGTCTTTTTTTAATACAATATAGGTTTTTTCCTAGCATTTCATCTTGTGAGCCCTCACTGACAGAATCTCTAGTATTCATATTTCTGTTCAAGACAATCTAGACTTTTTCTGTTATACTACTCAAAACTCTTCCAGCCTCTAGCTACTGCCCAATTCCAAAGACATTTCCATATTTTTATGTATTTGTTATAGCAACATCCTACTTCCAGCCACCAAAATCTGCATTAGTTTCCCGGGGCTGCCATAACATATTACCACACGCTTAGTAGCTTAAAGCAACACAAATTTATTCTTTACACTTCTGGATGTCAAAGTCCAAAATTATTCTCACTGGGCTAAAATCAAAATTTTGGCAGAGCTGGTTCTTTCTAGAGGTTCCAGGGGAGAATCCACTTCCTGTGTTTTGACCACCTACATTCACTGGTTCATGGTCATCATCACTTCAACCTCTGCTTCCATCATCACTTTTGCCTTTATTTTATAAAGACCATTGTGATTACACTGGACCCACCTGGGTAATCCAGGATATCTCTCCCATCTCAAGAGCCTTAATTTAACCACATCTGCAAAGTCTCTTTATCATGTAATGTCATGGAGTCAACTTGTGAAGATCAAGATGTGGACATCTTTTGGGAGAACTAATCTTCGTACCAGAGCAATGTTCATTATTAACTAAATTATCTAAAATGTTTAACCCATATTTTCAGTTACATTGTTTTAAGCACTCCAGTTATTCACTACCCAAGTTACTAAGCTAACATTTTGAATGTTGTTTCTTCTAGAAGTTTCACCAAGAAGTTCAGCAACAGAATAAGTCTATATATTGAATCATACAATTCCGAGAGCTGTTGAGATCTGAATAATTCCTTGACTCATTATTATTGTTTGGAGTATTTCCAAAGTACATAGTAGTTTCATTACAGGGAGAAAAAGTTAAATCCCTATCATAAAAATCATAACTACGCTGAAGCTGAAAGATACCTAATGAGTCATCTCAGTTTCAAGGATGAGAAAAATAAGACCCAGGGAAGTTAAATGATTTATTTGATGATACAACTCTAATGTAGAGGACAGGGAGCATAAATGTATTTTAATAATATATAATGCCTAACTATGGAAATACATTTTAAGAGCAAGCATACAGAAAGCTGCTGCATTTTCATAAAAAGAATTCCCTAATCTTAGGCTCAGGTAGATTTTTATTTAGCCATTTGAACTTCTTAAGTTTTCAGGCAAATATTAATAAGATAGTTCTCTAAATGGCTAGAGGAGTTTAAAACAAACAATACCAGTTTAATGAAAACAGAGATATATTTTCCAGAATGCTACACATGATGATTATCAGGCCAGTAATAGAAGTTCTACTGTTGATGGTCTAATGAATGGTCTGGAAAAATTCCTGAAAGTTCATAGGTCCTACAAGTATTGCAGTTGTCTGATTTCCCTGGAGACAAGACAATTATCTCATGCTCTAATGGAACCCTAAGATAAATATCTTGTAATAAATGTGCATGGCATAAAAGTGCTTTTAAGAAAACAGGTATGTTTTCACTTTATTTTTTTAAAGCACCTAAACTAAATTATAGTTTCCATTGTTAATTATTCTTTTCAAAAACGCCAAAACCACTGAGATACTTTTCAAATGTTAGTTTGATTACTAAATGTATATTAGGCTTATTGTTTTTTCTAATTATAAGAAAAGTAATAGAGACATAAAGTAGAAATTAAGATACAAGGACTTTAAACAGGCCAGCAAAAATTGCTATTGATATGTTAACAGGCTTCTTAATAAACAAAGGGAAAATATTCATATTATCAGAAATAACCAGATATTTCAATATGAAGGGAAGAAAAAATGTTTGTTTTGACCTATAGAACAAACTAATGATTCAAAAACTATGGCTTTACATGTGTGTGTTATACCATTATACCAATAAAGATCTTAATCTTCTTGCATTGATAACATTTATAACAGCTGGCAAAATTTCTCAGATTTTCTATATGTATAAACAATATGATAGTGTTAAGAATAAAATATAAATGGGATGTTTAAGTCTCTTTTCACTGTATAGTCAGCATAGAGATGTCTAGGAAAAAGCTTAAAATCTCATCAACAATGTGAGGGTGTATCAAAACATAAAATGTATCATGGCTGTAAAAATAGACATTGCTAATAAAAATAGTTTTATTTTTCCCACTAATAGAAATTATCCTAATAAAAATAGAAAGGATAAAGCAAATAAAAGTTATACCACCCAGAGATAAGCACTTTAAACATGTCATTGAACATACTTTCACATGCAAACACACACACAGATGATCTTACATACACTGAACCACACATACAACACTTGTTTGAAATCTTTTATGCTTTGCTCTTTATCTTTAAGAAAAAAAAAAATCAGGAATATCTTTTCATGTCAAATAGGGAACTACATAATGATTTTCATGACTGCAGAGTAGTTTATCACAGAATACTCCATAATTTATTTAACCAAACCCCTATTGTAAAACATTAATCTCATTTGTGATCTTTTTTTGTTACAATAAACCTTGATAAATACCCCATACTAACCTATTTACCAACTTGTCCAATTCTTTCTTCAAGGTAAATTTCTTTATTTTTTTAAGATTTTTATTTATTTATTTGACAGACAGAGATCACAAGTAGGTAAAGAGGCAGGCAGAGAGAGAAAGAGGGGGAAGCAGGCTCCCCGCTGAGCAGAGAGAATGATGCAAGCCTCAATCCCAGGACCCTGGGATCATGACCTGAGCAGAAGGCAGAGGCTTAACCCACTGAGCCACCCAGGTGCCCCTCAAGATAAATTTCTACAATTAATTCTAATTGACTACAACTAAAAGTAATGGATAAGAGAGTGTGTATATTTTAAACTCATACCTAACAGAAATTTTACCTAAACCTTTTGGAAAGCAATTTACCCATATATTAACATCCTTCAATGGGTCCCTGGGGCAAGGGGTTGTGCTGACCTAAGGTAGATAGGGCGGAGTAGTAAGGATGGGTAGGGAGCGGTGGAGAGGACAGTGCCCCTGCTCTGAGGGAGGGACTGTTGAGCAACAGAGACAAAGGGGTGTGTGATGGGCACAGGTCACAATGGGCAGGAGAGGATAAAAGGGGTCCTGTGGGGTGGTTTAAGCCTAGGTGGAGGCTTCAGTTTGGGAAGAGAGGAGCAGTACAAATACAACTGGCAGTGAGGTTGTGGAATCCAAAAAAAGCAGAGGCTATTGTGAACCAGTGTGTCAGGCTCAAGAGGAGGTCCCCTCTCCACTCCAAGTGAATACCAACATCTACACACCTCAACATCTGCATACTCTGACATCTATTGGGACCCCAACATCTGAGCACCTCAACATCTGTGTACCCTGACATCTACTGAGGCCTGGATCTCTTGCTCCTCCACATCTGCATACCATAACATCTACTGGGCCCCGACCTCTGTGGGTCTCCACATCTGTGCACCCTGGCATCTACTGGGGCCCCAACATCCGTGCACCTTGACATCTACTGGGGCCCTGACTTCTACTCCTCTACATCTGCACATGGTAACATCTACTGGGACCCTTCTCCACTCAACATCTGAGCACCCTGTCATCTACTGGGTCCCTAACACTGTGCACCCCAATATCTCCACGTTCTAGGCAGAGCACAGTCTGGTGCAGGTGCAATTGTCTCTAGCATTGAGCAATTGGTAATCAGTACCCCCACCCTGTTCTCAATTACTCAGAGACAAAAAAAGCCTGCAAAAGACCACTGCTAATTCACCTGCTAGAGAAACCAGGGAAATAGGACGCCCTCCCAAGTGTGGTAAAGTGTGGAGGACCCCTAGGAGTACTTGGTAAAAGATAGCCATGAAAAATCAATCTAAGTTACCACATTACACAGCCCAAAGCAGCCCCGCAATGGGTATGTTTAATACCTCCATGGGGAAACTGCAACAACAACTGTATAAGGGGGAATATACGATATTCAAGTATGCCCCAATGTTTGAGAGTGACTTTATACAGGTCAGCAAAAAAGGAGAAGTGATCGACGTGCACAACCGTGCCCGAATGGTGACTGTGGGCATTGTTCGCACAAGCCCCCACCTTACACTACCTGATGTCATGTTGCTGGCCCGACCAGCTGCTATCTGTGATGACTATAACAGACATGGTCCTGCCACCCAAGAAAAAGGTTATAAGCCTACACAGATCTTAGAGCTAACCAGACTGTTTCCCTTGAAGTTTGTAACAATATCCATCCATAATGGTAAAAAACAACAGCTCCGCCTGAAGCTTGCCACTGGCCGCTCTTTTTACCTTCAGCTGTGTCCTCCTTCTAATACAAAAGATCTTTTCGTTTACTGGGAAAACCTTGTTTACATTCTGAGACCACCAGTAGAGGCTTACAGTGGTTCCCAGGCTATCCCAGTTGGAGACACGCTGGACATAACTGGGTTTGAAGAAGAGGACAATAGCCCAGAGGTAAGTCTTCACAGATACTCTAAAAGATGAGGCCAGGGTGCTATGGGAGAGCAGCTAAAAGTCCTGCAGAGCCTTTGGTACCGAGGTTCACCTAGAAAATTCATTACATTTAGATGGGTTCAGGGCCAAAAGAGCCTCCATTTGGAGGCCATGTCACATTGGGGAAGTTCTGGATGTTGCAAAGTGTTCCCCAATGCTACATTTCAGATCTTCCTTAGCTGTTAACAACTCTTAATTTCATGTCCAATACTGTACTGCCATCTGTGGCATCCTGACCATAGCCTCCCCACCATATCTCTCCATGATCACCATGTACTGATTTTGTATACGTCAGATATACAGGGATGTGCTTGTGAGCATTGTTAGTAGCTATCAGAATATTAAAGTGCATGCCACTTAGCCAGCAGAAATACTAACACAAGTGTACAAAAAAAAGTATATGAGGATATTCATTCGTGAATTATAATAATGTGCTGGCTGGCACTGGAATTGTCCAAGCAAAACTGGAATGATTATGTGGTCATTGTGGAAACACTGAAGAGAAGGATTCCTGCAACAAACAGGAGATTGAACTTGAGATCTCAATCTTATTATAAGCTCTTATTGTTTCGCTATAGGAATAAAAGGTCTCACTTTCTTTATTTCACTCATTTGTCTCTCCCATAGGCAAATGTCATTCATTTCTATGGAAGGGATCAAGATCAAGTTGACATCAGGAGTCTTCACATGAACCATGAATTGTTTGGGACCACCTCTTATGGTTATGCTGGGGAGGAATGAATTCATCATGCCTCCCACACTTAACTGCATTCAAGAGTTCACACACTTCTGCAGTCACAAAGCCTACAGTATCAGAGAAAAGGGCAGGGATGGTGACAGGAGCAGCCTTCACAGATCCAGGAAGAAGCACCGCTAGAATGGTCATAGTGGGAGCATTGGACATGTCTTAATATTGTTGTTAGCAAGGGCTGTAAACCCTTCTTATACTCAGAGGTTACTTTTAGCACATCAGTAGGAGCTACTGACCTCTTCCCAGAGGGCAGCATAAATACAGTGATTCCAAGAGCAGAAACTACTGGCAAGCCCATTGCAAAAACAGCTAACAGCTCAGTATTGGGACCCCCTCATTACAAACTTACAGAGTGAAGGCTACGTGAGTGAACAGGATGGAAGCCAGAGGTTTCCACCCAGCAGGACTGACTCTTTAGGAAAAAAGAGTTTCAAAGCCCTATCCTGCACATGGTGCAGAGGTGGACATCTCATATAAGACTGTGAAGGAAAGCAATATCATCCATCCTAATACAATTCAACTCAAATTCTTTGCTCTAATAACATATGCTCTATTAACAGGGAAGGGTAGTAATAAAAACAAATGGCAATTTCTGATCAGGCTCTGACCTATCTTTAACTTTCCCTTAACTTGATATTTGTGATTAAATGCACAGATGACAGAATAAATGCTAAAGATTACTCTCAAAGACCCTCATCCATTTTTCATCTACATGTATTAACCAAAAAAATTCTAAAATCCCCAAAATATAACACCAGGGACAGAAACAAATGGTGGTGATTATTTATTATAAAAGTATTATTATTAGGAGTGTTGAAAAACTATTTATACTTTCTAGAAAGGGATTCATTTCCCCAGTCTTTATTCTTGTTTTTTTGCACGACTTAAATGTAATTTAACTGCTTTGATACTAAAGTACCCAATAGATTGTATAAATCTTAATTTTAATTTCCTGATGTTATTTAAATTCTAAATTTCTTTGTAGATATTTGGAATTCTAAATAACATCTTGTCACAATGGAAGAATAAAATGCCATATTAAAACTAGGAAAGCAGGGACGCCTGGGTGGCTAAGTGGGTTAAGCCACTGCCTTCGGCTCAGGTCATGATCCCAGGGTCCTGGGATAGAGTCCCGCATCGGGCTCCTTGCTCGGTGGGGAGCCTGCTTCTCTCTCTCTGCCTCTGCCTGCCGCTCTGCCTGCTTGTGTTCTCCTGCTCTCTCTCTCTCTCTGACAAATAAATTAAAAAAAAAAAAAAAAAACTAGGAAAGCAGAATAATTAGCTAAAACTAGAATATAGGATCAATTCAAAATCTAGACAAAAACTAGGGTTTAGATAATCTTAGAAGTGTAATATCTACAGGATCAGCCAGTGTTCTAGTTCTGCAAGTAAAAAATCTATTTAAGATTCTAAAAGTAATACATCACATAGTTTTAATTAAGTCTGAATTTTCATAATCCTCATGTTTCTGAAGTTTAGCACTATGCTTTGAATATAGATATCTGATACATGTGTGTTGGATCAAGTTAAATTAGGAGTTATAAATGTGAAATAAATAGATTTTATTTGAATCCAACAAATCTGAGTATACAGAAGTTTGCATAGCACTATACTAATTCCACTGATCACAAAAGCTCCTATACCAACTGTAAGGTAATGGTTTTTCTTGAGACCTTATATGCACAGTGGTTGGCTTAATGATTTTTATTTCAGATCTAAAAAAGAAACATCAAAATAAAATCCTGTTATTCATGAAATTTTAAGAAAACTTATTTTGAAGCTGGCCTACAAAATTCTAAGTTCAAAGCTATTGCAAATTGTAGGACAAATTTACATTTGATATGATGTCTCCAATGTCACAACAAATGTATTAAATTTTATTCTAAGTATACACACATATGTTAAAGGAGAGTCCATCAGCAAATTGAGAACTTTAGTAGAAGTCCATATGAAAATATTAATAAAAGAATTCTATTCTTCATTCATTACATTAAATAGAGTAAAAAAAACCAATATTATATCTCAGATAACTTATAGATGTACTACAGTAACAATTAAAATACTAATAAGGATACTTTTATAAAATATAAATTTTTAAGAGTAAACAATGTCAGCTAATTAATGCAATCATGATTTCTCCTGCATTATATGTAAAAATACCAAAACTGAGTCATATCGTCTTAAAAATAGAACAACAGTGTAAGAGATTTCAGAAGAAAATCCAAATCAAACAGGGTACAATATAATGAGAGAAATGGGAATTACCTCTAGATGAGGCGAGTTAAACAAACAAACAAAAAGATGAAGAAGTTTAAAGAATTTGATAGTTTAAAAAATGACACAAAATACATTCATATACGGAAATTAAAGGTGGTAAGTGTAACTATTAAAAAATTGTTATTTGCCAATCTTCACCAGAAAATGACCAAAGAAAAATATCTAGTATTAAAAAGTTATAAACCAAAATCGTTACTACTGAGCCTACTACCAAGCCTAATAAAATGAAAAAAATAAATAGGAAGGTGGTAGAGAAGTAAATTATAGTCATATATTATTGATGGCTCAGAGTCCTAGTACTTTATCTTATGAAACAAGTAAAATAGATAAAAGCATTTGATTACTAGTAAAGTCTTAAGCAGATGAGGTTATATGAATAGAATAAAATCTATATTTCTTTGAGGAAACTCTTTGAGGAAATGAAACTCCCAAATACACATATTTGTTCATTATTCCACTCAACTACTACTTACTATTGACAATATACCAAGAACTATGTTGGCCTTAGAAATAGATGTAATACAATAATCTCTATGTTTATGGAACTCATGGTCCAGTATATATTGATAACAATTCTGTAATAAGTAGGATAGTGTCTTAAAGTCCTAAAAATAGTTCATGTTAAAGTAAAGAGATTCTTTAAGCAGTATATGTTTATTTGATTTTCTCTACAATAAATTAATATTGGAAGTTGAGTGGCTCTGGTCAATTTGTGACATTAAGACATGAAAAAGTGATTTTTTTCTTAGACATAATTGCTTCATACTTGAGGCAAAACAAAATATTTTTGAGATGTAACGCTATTCTGGACAATTACTGCAAATTATTATCTGTCCAAGACTATTTTTCCACACATGCACTACATAGTTAGACATATATACCTTTGCCATTACATTGTTTTTGTATTAAATGTTTCTTCATATTTTCATTGTGGCATTGAATTTCCCAGCTCTGGATAATTTTACTTATTTTTGAAACTCCTCCATAAGCTTGTGGTCCAAAATACACAATGGTAATTTGAAGGTAATGCAATAGAATAAAACTGACTTAACAAATAGTGAGATGGTTTCAAAAGTATATTCAATATTTTAGAGTTTTGGTCTCATTTTTTGATTGTCCTACATAATTTCAATGATGAACATTATTCTACAATGTTTCACTGTGCTAAAAAATTAAAAGAATCAGTGACAATGCTTATAAAGAGCCCTTCCATGTTTCCTTGAAAATCATTTTCTATTATTTTAATATAAATTGTAATTGAAAAAGCATTCTTTAAATGAACCATTTCTGGATCATAAATATTAAAAATCTCAAAAACAACTCAATTTTTCAGGAATTAGCATCATGATCAAAATAAAACAACCACATAAAATGATATAAAGTATGTGTTTGAGTATGCACACATGTACAACAAGTTAGATAATCTGACCTTTAACTGAAGAAAAATTACAAAATGAGTAAGATATTTATTAGATTTCCAGGAAGAGAGAAAAAAAGATTTCCTTAAAAACATGGGCAAGTATTTTTATGTTTTACTACATCTTGAGAAAAGCAAACCATTACCTGTGCAAGAATGGGGAAGCCAAGGTTCCTACATCCGTTACAAGGAGTTAATGCTTCCCAGAGTCCTGAGGGTCCACAAGTGTTCTCATCATCATCATCATCTTCCACTTCTCCTGGTGACAAATTTATTGTAGATGAAGTTCTCTGAAATTAAATTTATATTATACCAATATATTATCTGAATGTTATTTAGATATCTTAATATCAATTAAATTACATTATTTTCTTATAGTGTATGTTAGCAAGCAAAATCAGCTTAATATTCACCATAGTTATGAGGCTGTGCCATGGGACTAAGACAAAAACTTGGATAACTCGATTTAAGTTGAATGTTTAAAAAAAATTGAACGTGAAAAAACTGGGTGAGAAAAACTATTAAGATTCAAAGTTCATAATGAAAAATAGACATGAAAATGACCCAAGAAAATATCTCAGCAGCATCAAACTAGAGAAATCTTATCATTTCTAAATACAATCAGAGGAATAGAGGGAAAATACTTTATTGAAATAAGAATTGCTAAAAGCACATTTTTTTCCACAATGTCTCCTTTTCAAAAAAATGAACTTCATAAAATTTTATATTGTATGTGTAACAGGAATAATACTTTAAAATTAACAATAGGACTTCAGTGTTGAAACATTTGTAAAAATGGTCTAACATGCATAAGGACAAGGACAAAAGGAGAGAGATTAGCAGAGGAGTAATAACAAGAAAACTTTAAGATAATGATAAACAAATGGATAAACAGATTAGCAGATGAGTAATAACTAGAAAACTTTAAGATAATGATAAACAAATGGGTACGAATTACCTGATCTAGCAAACTTGAGAAAACTGAAAACAAAATGTCTACAAGAGGAAAAATAAGCAGCATGTTTATTCATGACTCAGTGCCACCAAAGGGCTTAAGAATCAGAGAGACTGACTTTCCATGAAGATGTATGTGCAGGTGAGCTGCAACAGGATAGACTCAGACCCATGTTCTCAACTGGCCAAGGAACTAAACCTTCACCACTGACAAAAAAATTGGAGGTTTATTTTCTGGTGGCACTGAAACAAAGAGATTAGGAATTCTAACACTCCATGCATAGTTAACAGAGGGGTGTCTCTGTAAAAACAAAGAAAATAATTGAATGTCTAGTAGTTGTAGCTTCCCAACCCATTCCAGTGCCTGCCCATATTTGCCCTAGATAATACGGCAGCTAGGTTTATATCCCCAGGCGGAAGATGACAATATAGTCCCCTCTGCAGAAATTGA